ATAATAAATACAATATTATTATTATTTCATAATCATACTCTCATAATTGAGATACCAATCCGCAGTGCTGGTATAAAAATATCAACTCGTGCTACATTTAACTAAGGTTATTTCACATCACGAGAATACTGTGATGAACACCTTGATTTTATAAAATTATGTTTGCAACCTGTACTTACAACTAAAATAGTAATGTGACAACCCTGGGATTCGATTGAAGTGTAGGCATTTATGCGTCGAACGGGTAATTGCCTTACTTGTCTTATCATACTATGACATATGCCATACCGTGGTAAGATACGTGTAAGTAATTGATGTTATACTCATACGGAAATGCGCACGCATGCACGTTCAAAGCCCCATACGAATTCTAATGTATAAAAATAAATTCATGTGGGGCTTTTAACGTATATACTAGTATAATATACTAGTACACTTAATCAATTACATAATAAAATATCGTCACGTCATCTCGGTGGGGTACACAGAAACCTTTTAGTTAATATGAACCTGGTAGTTATTTCTTTTTTTTGCATTCGCATTGGGAACAGTTGTATATCCTTTACAGTTCTCATTCTCTTCAAGTTAGTGATGCCATGTTAATTTTTTTTATTAGCGTCAGCGGTTTAAAATTGTCTTTTTTTGGTTAAAGTGCTAATACTTTTGCAGACTATACAAAATCATAAAAAGAGCCATTCCGTATATTGCATAATATATTATTTAAAAAAAGTCGATACAAAATTTTTATCTAATACTAATACAGATCTCGGCACTATAAAATACGTAAATTATAAGTACTTCTACCTAGAAGCTCGACCGTATAAAAACCCGATTAAATTTTGAATTATTGCAATTTCTCTAAAGCAATAAAATTGCGAAATTCCAAATTCAATTAACAAACTCCAGAATCTATTACATGACAGAATTGCAAGCGTAGCCTACGAATTTACGAGGGATCGTTTGACCGTTTCATATTTCAGACGAGACGTGATCACTTCACTACGACGCCGAAACGTAGACGTAGAGTTGTCAGATGTGGCACAGTTATTCAATTAACTACTTACAACATGACAGTGTTGCGAGGGTAGGTTATAAATTTACGAGATGCCGTTTCATATTTCAGAAAAGACGTGATCATTTTTATTACGACGCCGATACGAAGATATAAATCTGTCAGTTGGGAATAGATAATTGACTAGCTACAACACGCTAATGTTGCGAGCGTAAGCTATAAATTTACGAGGCTTCATATTGTATCTTAGAGGAGGCGTGATCACATCACTGCGACACACCAATACCTTCGTGGATATAACGTAACTGGATGTGGTATGGAAAAACAATTAACTGGCCATAGTTCGATCATGTTGCGAGTGAAGGTGTTAAATTTGAGAGGCTCCACGTATATTTAACAGAAGACGTGATCGTTAAAAAGATGCTAGCTGGTTAGGTATCGGAAATTGTTAGCGGCGGCGTTTCAATTAAGGTACAATTTATTATTTAGTAATTTTTACAGCATCCATGTCGGTATGATCATTATTAATTGATATTGCCGCTTTAATAAATACTTGTATGTATGTCATTTCTAGTAAAGCTGAATTACTAAACCTCACAAATTTTGGATTCCGAGCTAGTAATTTAGAATCAAAAAATTGCTCGCAAGAAATATATCTATAATATACCTATAATTTAACTGCCTTCATAGCCGAATGGTTACCATTCCGGACTGCCACGCAGAGGTATCGGATTCGATTCCCGGGCAGGGAGAAATATTTGTATGGCCTACATTTATTTCTCTCGCAAGTTTGGGTGTAATTTGTGGTTGTCTATGTGTGTGTCTATGGCAGCCGCGATACAGGGTTTCCCTAGTATGGGGTTATGAGTGCGTGCACGTTATATCAATTGCACAAGGCAGTTTGCAAAATAATGATAGCGAACATAGTACGCTTTAAGTAGATCTTTATTTGTTACATCTAGTAACAGCTGTAATTCATGGTAAAGCATATTAGTGACAATGTAGCTGGTTTCAGACGGGAAATTGCTTGCTAGTTTCAATTGCTCCGGCCGGGCTAGTATTCAGGAGAACGAGGTTGTTAAGTTAACCCAGTACTCGGCAAATGGAATTTTTAGTACCCATTACGAGTAGACCATCGTGTAAGAATAGATGTTTGATATTTTAATGTGTCATAACGGGACGCTTGAAAGGAGCCTTTGCAACGATGTTTCATGCGTGCTCTCTGTACGTTGTCACAAACTGTATACCAATCGGCGAGTACCTTTACGTCGATTGGAAAATCCGTTCATCACTATGGCCATAATGCAGTACATGCCATCGATATGATAAGAAGAAGACGTAAGTATCATACAATAATGTTATCTGAATATTGTGGTGTCTAGGTTTAGTACCCGAAACCGAATTTTAATGTGTTCAATTCTTTACGACGCGTCGGTGGCCCAACGATTTGCATTGTGGGCAATGGATGAGGATGTCCCGGGCTTGATTCCTGGTGAAAACAATTTGGGAAATGAACGTTTCAAAATTGATTCTGGTGCTCATAGCACAGGGAATTCCCTAGTAGGTCAATAATTGGTGTGGTTGGCTGGCACATTATTATCATTACCTATCATCATCGTTATAAAAGTTTTTAGAACATTTTTTATAACCAGATAAAATATAATATAATTTTTATTTCAAGACCTTTCTAAATTTTGTTAGAGATACATTTAGTTCATCCTTTATTATGAAATCAATTAATGAAAAAGTAGAAATAAATTTGCTTTTACGAGTGCACGAAAAAGGGTGCTTAGTAGTTTGTATTTTGTGAATAAAATGTAGTTTTCGCAGACAAATGTACTTTCAGTCTTGTAACATACAGTATTCTTTACAATTTTAGTAGCAGTAGAGTTCCTTGTGAAAGAGTTCGTCCAGGGAAGTACTGCCACCTTCGTGCCTATTTCTGCTGCCAAGCAGTAATGTGAGCATGCGTTCCGGCTTTGAAGGGTAAAAAAAAGGGTAGGGTAGGGGTGCTGGTGAAATTACAGGCTCATGGGATTGGTCAACTTATGTCTTGGGGGGGACGAGCGCAGTGGCAGTGCCCCGCAGATCTTTGCGATTTAAAGCTCCGAGTAGCACTGCAACGTTATGGACAGGCGTGTCGCTTAGCATGAGGCGCACGACTTTGTTCGTCCTGTCACTTAATATTATAAATAAAAAAAATACATGATATACAACCCGATAGCACGGTGATATCCCACAGTGTTTTGGTTTTCACATATGTTTATTTTGTCTTATAATCCTAAGCCCGGCTACATGGTTGAACTGGCGGTAAAGCTTCACAATGTAAACAGGTCTCAAAACTCATAACTTTGACGGTGTATGCATGACTATATTTGCGCATGGCTTAGAGCATTTAACCAAGCAGACGCAACACGAATTCTAATTTCTAAAATTAAAAAGTCTGCCACTTTAGAGAGGAAGGGGCAAGCACACAAATAAAATTCTAATTACTAATGCATTTCTCGATCATGTCGCTGTGTACGCACACTAGTATGAAATTAGGCAACACTAGCGTGACTTTATGTACGCAGTCTCTTTCACAGACAAGAACGTTTAACTTTTAGCAGCGATGCAAATGCGCGATTGCATCTCTACACTTGCGGTATAAAAGCGATTGCATCAATACAATCACGCGTTGGTATGGATGCAGTCGCGTGTTTGCATCGCTGCTAAAAATCGCCGCGTGTTGGTTACACACTCCTATAACTTTGACAGAGGGGTTGGCATATCGATGGCGTGTCCAGTTGGTTTAATACTCTAAGGCGCAAGGGCAAGGCACGGATCCAGATCGCTGAAATATACGGGCTAATCTCTGCGATGATAGATTACGCTACGGTCACTTTACCGATCAGACCTATCACTTTACCAACTTACTAACTACGCCTAATATTGCAAGTTAGTTTTGATAGTGATTGTCTATCGAAAGTTAACGAATTTTGGCCATTCACATTTTGAAAACAAAACACTGGGCAGTTAGGAACGAAGGACTGAAAGAGCCTATATTATATTATACAGGGTACTAATTTGTAAAATACTAACAACTTCCCAGGACCTTATGACTAATATCACAAAAAAAAAAAAACAAAAAAAATAATATCACAAATAACAAATTTTGGTCAAAGAAAGATCGATAAATCCGATGTAAAACACAGGTCGCGAGGAGGACG